TGTGAAATGAATTTTGGAATTGTGAAAGATATGCCACTGAATGAGGTTAATTGTGAAATGATTATTACTCTTGATTATGATTTGAGCATGATGCATAATTTGGGATTTGGTGAGAGTTTGATAGTTACTACCACGTGGTAAGGCCTCCATTAATGCATGATGGTTGGCTTAGTACGTCCCCCATAGTGAGGGATAGGCCTTTTGGCTCCCTACGTCCCCCAGAGTGAGGGATAGGCCTTTTATGGCTCCTTACGTCCCCCATAGTGAGGGATAGGCCGGGTTCGGCTCCTGAAAAATCCCCCAAAGCGAGGGATTTGATTGATGGGATTGCATCATTGCACTTGCATGAATTGTTGTGGCTATCAATATATATATATATAATTTGTGAACTGCCCCACTTGACATCTCACGAGCACCTATTTAGTAGTACCTAGTATTGGAAAGGTTGGTTACTGGGACTTTGTCTCACCCCGTGGTTTACAATATTTTCAGGTGAAGGTTCTAGGCGTGCGCCTTCGGGAAGAGACGCAGAGGCTTGAGCTTGGTTAGCTTTAGGCCTCTAGCTTTAATTATGTATGGATAGTTGTATATTGCCACGTTTAGGGTCCTTTTAAACTATTTTGATTGCCCGGTTTATTCGTAAACTGGAGGAAGTGTATCTTCTTCTTATTTCAATTGGGCCGGAGGCCCCTTTTTATTGATTTTGTAAACTGGAGAATATATTATCTACTCGTTTTGTTGGCCGGAGGCCATTCCTATTATTTTATGAAACTTTGTTATTCGTGGTTGAGATCTATTGGGATGGGCTGATTTTGATGTATGTCGTTACCCGAGCCGGAGGCTCGGAGGCCCAGTGATTGTGATTGAATGATGATAGTTGCACGCAACTGCATTTGAGATGGAACCAAGTTTTAAATGTTAATTTTCTAAAATTACGCAATTTCTTTCTACTATGATAGTTGTTGTAACATCTTTCTTTTTCTACCATAGTAGTGGTCTTATGACGAGTTATAATGTTTTTGAGGTTAAGGGTCTTACAAAACCAGTCTGACGTCTGGGAGCAGGACACTACTCAGTATGGGGATTCTCATTTCTCTGAATCTGCTACTGCTGCTCCTCCTCCTTACCAGCATCACCATGGGGTTGTTCATCCCCTGAAAAACGAGCCTCCTCAGTTTGTTGAATATCATCGTGCTCCATAAAACTCAGGATATTTTTCTTGTTTAGATCGTAGTCATGAATACTCGGGAATGGCTCACCAGCATCATGACCGCCACCACCACGATCCTCGCTGGGTCTTGCTCTCTCAGGATCAATCGGCTCCTTCCCTGGTCGACGACTCATCCTAATAATAGCAAATAGTAATTGAAATTAAAAAATATATTTTACAACTAACAATTATTTAAAATAAATAATTATATCAAATAATAATTATTTCCATTAACTCTAAATAATAATATCAAATAATATTAATTGAAAAATAGATATTCCTATATCTAAATTTTTCGTTAACTCATAAAAAAAAAATTACTTCTATTAACTCTATAAAAAGTAGCCTACTATAAAAAAATTTCTATTAACCCTAACTAAATTAAGCTAGTCTATTAAAGTTAATATAAAAAATATAATAAAATAAATAAAATAAATAAAATAAAGAATAAAAACAAAAATTATTTATAAATAAATTACTATTCTTACATGAAAATATGAATCTGCAACTGGATCTGGATCTGGATATACTTTGTGGAGAGAATTCGGTAGAGCTCCGCTTCAAAATTGGCCAAACAGTGAAAATGACGTGGTGGGAGGGTATATATAGGCCGCGATTTTATAGCAGTTTTAAAGGAACCGCTAGAAAATTCTAGCAATTCTATTAAAACCGCTAGAAATTTTTAGTTGTCACACTGCGCCACCCCCTGTATTCAGCCACGTGTCACAACTCCTTGGGAAAAATAAAACATTTCTAGCGGTTTCTGTTGAAGCCGCTAGAAAGTCTGTTGAATTACTAGCAGTTTCTCTAACCGCTAAAAAATGGAACAGTGATTTGCATTCTCTAGCGGTTCTATCACCTGAAACGCTAGAAAATAAACGCTAGAAGTTTGGCGCGAACTTCATGCCAAAACGCACGAAAGATTCTGGTGGTCACTTTCTAGTGGTTTACCGATAACCGCTAGAAAATTGTGGGGCTCACACTGTTTTGGGTCAAAGTGCTACGAATTTCTTGTGGTTTGCGATTAAATCGCTAGAAATGTTTTAATTTGTAACGATTTCCTGTAACTGCTAGAAATGTTCCACTAGTAATTCTACTTTTTTTTTTTGTAGTGACTTGATTTATAATCTCAAATTAAGTTCAAAGTATGTAGGTTCTTGCATATTATGATGAAATAACATACGTAGTTTCTTAAAGCAACAGGTCATACAAGTTCTATTACATAAAACAGGGAGAGAAATTTTTTAATACATACATCTTCATTGCCATGGCACTCTTGCGTGAGTATCAAAGACTACAAACTTAAGTCATATATACAATGAAATAACTTCGTAGGTTGAAGCAACAGATCATGCAAGATTGATAAATAAAATAATGAGAAATTTCTTAAACACAAACATCTCTAATGCACTTATTCTTTGGTGTGTCTCTCATCACTACAAAAAAACAGCAAATTAACGACGGAAACAAATTCCGTCTCAAATTAGCGACGGAATTTGCGACGGAAATTCCGTCGCTAATTTTTTTGACAGATTAGTGACGGAATTTCTGTCCGTCGCTAAATTCCGTCGCTAATCCGTATTTAGCGACAGAATTAGCAACAGAATCTTTTTCTGTCAGACAATTCTATCGCTAATCCGTCAAAAAAATTAGCGACGGAAATTCCGTTGCAATTCCGTCAGAAATTAGCGGCGGAATTTGTTTCCGTCGCAAATTCCGTCGCAGAGTTTAAGAAAATAAATTACATAGGATATATATACAAGTAGGAAAATACTGTTTATCATAATCTATTTAAATCATTTAATTTTTTATATAAAATAATTTATTAGATTTTATTATAGTAGTTATTTTTTGAATTTTTTGAATAACAAGATTTTTTGACTAATTGTAAATGATTTAAAAATTATTTTTTCATTAAAATAGTTATTATTAAAATTATCATATAGTATATTTTTAGTTTTTAATAATATATATGTATATATAATTGTTTGTGTAAAATAATATAATATATATTTATTTTACATAATAAGTCAACAGGTTCATTGCAACTCAACTGGTAAAGCCGCACATGCCCACGGAGGAAGTCCTGGGTTCAAGCCATGGAGAAGTCACTTTGAGAAGGGAATTATGTGGTGGCGCACACGTGGCAGGCAGAGGTGAGGTGGCAGGCACACGTGGCAGGCAGAGGTGTGACACGTGGCGGACACGTGGCAGTAGATGTGAGGTGGCAGCAACACGTGGAGGTGGTCTCAGTAATGACGTGGCAATTGGTAGAGGTGCCACGTGGCATTTTATTTTATTTTTTAAAAAATCGAGTCGCTAATCAATTAGCGACAGAGGAATTAGTGACGGAAAAAATTCCGTCGCTAATTCGTTCCGTCGCTAAATGTAAAATTCCGTCGCTAAAACCATGTTTTTTTGTAGTGCATGTTTACAATATAGCTCTATTTTTGTATTACTAAAACAGGGGAGGCCCTCTTAATATGCATATCATGCATAGATATGTAAACGATAGCTACATGATGGAGAATGCCCCTAGTCTAGGCGTTGTTCCTCATTGTCTTATATTTTCTGTGTATGAGTCTAACTTGGAAACACTGTCTATGCAAACAAAGGTGATATATAGCGAGTTCGAATTATATCCCTACTGCTTTTTATGCCTCACATATCCTCTACGCTGGCTTGGGGAAGGAATAGTGAGCCATTCATTAGTGAGGAAGGAGAAGATGGTTGACAGACCCAGGGAGAAAAGCTTGTTTTGATAGAAATGTTTTGACGATGTTAATCAAGGATTATCGGCTTTTAACTTCAAGGACCAACAATACTAACAATAGAAAGATGAAGGACTTGACAAAAAGGAAAAAAAAGAAAGCTTAGGAACCTAATTCAAAATGGAGCAAAACTATAAGGATTTTCAAATTAATCTTTTCTTAAAAAAATTAGTTAAATTAGTTATTTATAATAAATTAGTATTTTTTAAAAATATTCTTACTAATTAAGTGCATCAATTACAACTATCATTACTACAAAGATTACCTTAAAAAAATAAATAAATATGAGAGAAAAAATAGATTGGAATCTTATATTTAGAATTAAAATAAAAGTCAAATTAGCTTTTATATTAATAACTAGAGGTAGTATAAGAATATGAATACTTTGAAAAAAATGAGAAATAAAATAGATTGAGGTGATAAAATTTAATGTCCTAATTAACTCTTATAATGAGCATTAAGTAGTGATTTTTACCGGTCAATCACATTTTCTTGCGTTTGCCCTACACCAATCACATTATTCATAAATGGAAAATGCTGACTAAAACATGAAGCCCGCGTCGAACTGGTGTTTAACCTCAACTTTGATTACGTGGAAATAGCGCATTTTATGATTTTATCAGCAGAAAGAGGACTGCCCAGCTCCAATTATTGTTAAACAACAAAAAAATAATGAATTTTACTCTCACTTTGAAATAGATCATAACAGAGCGACGGCCCCGCCCATCATAAATAGATCCCTCCAAAGGCACACAACACACATCCAGCGATCGAGAGAGATTAATTAGGAAATCAGAGAGAAAGAAGATGTACTAAGAATGGAGGTTGCTCAAGTGCTGCACAAGTGCGTGGGAGAATCTCGTGTATGCGCGCGTGCGTGCGTGCGTTTGTGTGTGAACATTCCTTATACGTACCAATGTGTGTGAGAACATTCCTTATAAGTACCACTGTGTGTGTGTGTGAATATTCCTTATAAGTACCACTTTCGACGAATTCCATCTTCCTTGCTATATACCAATATGCTCCCGCAAAGCCTAGCGATTGCAGATTTGGGTTGCTCTTCTGGTCCCAACACTTTCTTTATGGTTTCTGAAGTTACCAGAACAGTGAAGAAGCTTTGCCGAGACCTAAACCAGCAGTCTCTGGAATGCCAAGTCTTCTTGAACGATCTCCCGGGGAGTGGCTTCAACAACATCTTCCGGTCTCTTGGCAGCTTCAAGGACAAACTCAGTCGTGAAATGGTTTCTGGGGTTGGTCCTTGCTTCTTATCGGGAATCCCTGGTTCCTTCTACGGCAGGCTTTTTCCTTCGAAAAGTCTCCATTTTGTCCATTCCTCTTGTAGCCTTATGTGGCTATCTCAGGTATACAAATTCACCGGTTTAAATAGTAAACTATATTATATAGAGCTAAATGTTTGATTCGATTAATGCGTTAGGTTCCCGAGGGAATGGAGAACAATAAGGGCAACATCTATATGGCAAGCACGAGCCCCTCGAATGTGTTGAAGGCTTGTTACCAGCAATTTCAGAGAGACCTCCCGTTGTTTCTTCAGTGTCGTGCGAAGGAAGTGGTGGAAGGGGGTTGTATGGTGCTCACGTTCTTAGGCAGAAGAAGTGACGATCCCTTTAGCAACGAATGCTGTCTAATCTGGGAGCTTATGGCCACAGCTCTCAATGGCTCGGCCTCCACGGTAATCATCGTAGCTTTTTGGATGATTGAAATGGAAGCTCCATTGCCATCCTTCGATGAACTATTGGTCCCGCTGTTGTGTTTAATAAATCACGTCACTAGCATTGATGATGAACTATTATATTGCTTCCATTTTGAAAACATGTAGCTAATGTTTACCATCTCTATCATTTAACTATGAAATTATTATACACCTCAATTTTCATGCAAAAATTACCTAACGTACGAACTTGTTTTACTATGATGAGTTACAGGGAATTATAAAACAAGAGGAAGTGGACTCGTTCAATATACCTCAATACACACCATCCCCGTCTGAAGTGGAACAAGAGATCGTGAAAGAAGGGTCATTCAAAACCCATCGTGTGGAGGTATCTGCAGTGAACTGGAATGCGTACGATGACCGGAACATAATAGGCAGTGAATTTAGTGAATCGGAAGTATTAAGTGATGGTGGATATAACGTGGCAAAGTGTATGAGGGCTGTGGCCGAGCCCTTACTGATCAGCCACTTCGGAGATGGTATCATCGAAGAAAGTTTTCAAGAGGTACCAAGAGATCTTAACAGATCGTATGTCCAAAGAGAAAACTGAATTCATCAATGTCACCTTTTCTGTGACCAGAAATGCCTGATCACCAAGACCGTCGAACTTCGCATCTGCATATTTCTAGCTGTCTTAAATAACTTCATTCATCTTTTGAGAGTTGAAGTTTCGGGTTTCCTTGCTTTAGCTTTAATATAATGATGCATGGATAGCTCTATGTGTGTTGAAGCTTCTGATTTGTGAGATGCTTATAATTTGCATGTGTAATAAAATTATGCTTTAAATTCTACCTCATCAGTTCTGGGTTTTTGTGTGTGTTTTTTGGGGGGGGGGTCTGGACAACAGTTCATATTTGGACCATTTTATAAACGAACGCCTGGACAACATGTCATACTTAAGGGTAAATTAACGCTTTCGTTAATTGAAGTCGTGATAAATAACCTAACGGTGATTTAATATATTTAATACTGCATAATACTTTCTCGGTTTCAAGCATTAGCCTTCTCTGAAAAACAAGAATCCCAATCCAGGGGAGACTCTCCAGCAGAGGCTAGTGGGAACATTATGAGAGACTTACAATATGTGTGTGTGTATGAGGCGAAAGTTCGTAGAGTTAAAATTGAAAGGCTTGATGTAGGACAAAAATATTCTCCTGATCGTTAATATAAAACTTATTTAATTAATTTGATTAGATTAAAAAAGTTAGTTAAGTTAGTCACATATAAGAAATATGACATGTTTTTTTTAAAATCATCATAATTATTTTTCTTAATATCTTCTCCTCTCTCCTATTTAATTATGGTTGAGGAAGCATCTATAGGAGTAATTTATGAAAAATTGATAAATATAAAAAACAGATATAATATTCAGGACCAAATTCAACTCAACAATTACGTTCTATATTAAGAATTGGAGAAATATATAATTACAATTACAATTCGTGTGAGATACAAAATGCATCCTTATTTGTTACAAAACTGGCCGTCATGAGCTCCAGCTATGTTTGTCTTGTGATTTCGGAGGCCTAAAGTTATACTAATTTTAGCTTCTCATCAACATTAAATTTAGAAGTCAATTCACCGATATCATGAAGACATTTAACATTGTGTAAGCAATAAAATTCGGTTCAGATATAAAATACTGAACATCGTAGATAAATAAAATGTTCAAAGCAATTTATAGAAAACGATTGAAAAAAAATCCCTCCAATCTTATATGTGTTTTTCTTTAAAATCCCTTGGCATCATCAGATAATCTTTAAAGATCTTCTCAATTAAGTTGTGAAGGGATGAGACTTTCTTCTTTAGTTGATGGAGTTTTGATAATTGATCTGCAAAACTTAATTTCAAGCTAGTCTCTTGATTTTGTAAGGAAATTTGGCAAATATGTACAATTTGATTATTATGGGGAACTTTGGGCCGAAGCATCACAAGTTGAAGTGGACTACCAATCAAAATCAATTTACAATTGGGCTCATCTGGCCCGTTACCGGGACTCCCCAGTCAGTCCCCCCAAGTCCCTCTTCCAGGTGCCTCTCTGCTTCCGATCGACCATACAGGGCTCCAGATTTCGCTAATTCATCATAAGCTTCTGTCTCTGTTGAGTTTTTCGGTGGAGTTCTTGGAAGAATTGTAATTACACACAGTTTCAATTGCCACATGGATCCGAACACGGTGAAGTCGACTCTGTCTAATTTGGCATTTGGAAATGTTATGGCAGCCGCTGCCCGTGATTATCAGAAGGTACCGTCCTAACCATTTCTTTGTTTCCTACGTGTTGTTTAGCTTGATATCCACTCTAACCTGATTTTTAAAGTGCAATGGTCATTTGCGTCAAAATTGAACTCTCTACATCTTAATCTATCATGCGCTTGCGATTCCCGGTGGTTGGCAAACCCTCGGGGTTCATGACTGAGATTTAATTTCATTCTTCGGCTGGTTTTGACGCTTTTAGCAATTGGCTAAGTTGATGTGAGCTCGCTATGTTTATTTTTTTAAGATTTATGCAAAAATAAAAATTGGAAGATGTCGAGTCTAATACCTACTCTTCCCATAAAGTCATAATCGGCATTGTACTCCTATAAGCTTAACTCTATCTCCCAAGCAAAGGGGGAAAAAAATCTTCACAGATCACGGTAGAGTACCTCATTCATTCTTCACAATTCATTTGTCGTGTTGACTGGAGATTGCTCCTGGATGCATGATTGCTGATGATATACCTCTCTGGAGTTTCTCTTGTGTGAGGTCATTTCGTGTTCTACTTAATATCTTTAGATAAATACACATGGTTAATTATCAGCTTAAAGATCTGCTTCCTTCTCTATTGAAGATATTTGTTTCTTCGACTTAGCCTATTAATTCACTCTCAACAGAATCATGGTCACCATTGGATGGAAGATGTTTGTTTTGATCAGTGATTACATGGTTGATTGTTTGGGGTTTGCTTTATGAATAATTGAGCATTACATTCGCCTGTATGATCCAAATTGTTTGAGGTGAACTAGCAGAACTTGATAATCATCAATGTGTTTCTAAAAATGAATGATCCTGTGATGTCTCTTAACAAAATTTGTCTGCAAAAATCCTTTTAGTACTCCGATCTTGTTACAAACCCGTATATTTTTTGCCCCTCGATATGGTGTCAAACTAAATGAAACTGATGCTCTCAGTGCACTGTCTCAATTAAATCATTGACTATCAAGCTATACTGGGGGTAAGCTTTTAATCTTTTCCCCATAATTTTCTTTTCTTTTTTCTCATGAAATCTTGATGATAGAGCACTATTTTCATGACTCAGATAAAAAATATCAGAGGTAGTTCAGTAGTTCTACTTTACATTTATTTTTATGTGTTCTTGAAAGTTATTGATTTATGTATTCTCTATTTAACTAGTTTCTAAATTTTGTTGCTACGTAGTATTTACTTGAACGCTGATATTATGCTGTAACTTTTGCTACCAATTAATTCTAACAGCAGTTATCTGCAGTCCTTATGGCCGGCAACAACATGTTTATTTTAAGTAACCCTTGCTATGATGATCCTTGCAGGAATTGCTTGAGCAAAATAAGGCGCAGACTTCAAGTTCTGTAAACCAGGAAGTTGATCTTGATGAGTTAATGGATGTATGCTCAGTAAACATTTCACTTGTATCGTATATGTATATATACCGTAGTTAAGAATTTTAATGGTCTATGCTGTGATGATGTTAGGACCCAGAGTTGGAAAAATTGCATGCAGATAGAATCGCAGCTCTTAAGGTGATAATTTGTGCTCCAGGTGTACCAGGATGAACCACGATATTCAGATTATTGTTGTTCAATAAATCCATTAAGTACCATATTACTTATGACTGAATTTTTCTTAATCTTGTACAGAAAGAAGCAGAGAAACGAGAGGCATGGAAGAAGAAAGGTCATGGGGAATACAGGGAGATAACTGAGGGGGATTTCTTAGGTGAAGTCACTAGCAGTGAAAGAGTTATATGTCACTTCTATCATAACGAGTTTTATCGATGCAAGTATGCCTGAGTTTAATAACCCATATTGTCCCTATCTTTTTGATATGCACGCATTCAAATGACTTATATTATTGAGTCAATCAATGTTTCCAGGATAATGGATAAGCATTTAAAATCCCTTGCACCAGATCATGTTGATACGAAGTTCATTAAGCTTGATGCAGAGGTTAGCATGAACGTTCCTAATACTATTACCCTGCAATAGTGACGATTAGATTTTCTAAGATGCTCCTGTGCATCTACAAAATTAGGCATGTTCATTTAATACAACATGTTGTCCTACCAAAGTAATGGCTTGAATTTTATTCTTTATATGAAATGCAGAATGCGCCCTTCTTTGTTGCAAAACTGGCAGTCAAGACTTTGCCATGCGTCATACTGTTCAGGTGAGCCAGTGGCTGTTTCTATTAGATCTCACATGAGGAAGACAAGAATAAAGGTTGGAATTCTATGGGGCTCATTGGTTTCTGGAATATTCTAACGACACTTGGAAATGTTACATGGAATTGATTTATTCAAATGTTTGGTTCGAGTTTTAAAGATGATTTTTGGAAATGATGCATACTAGAAATTGATCAAAATCTTCCATTTTCATTTATGTTTGTCTTTTTGGTGGCTGGTGAGTGGGGTTGAACGTGGGAGAGTGGCTTTGGGGTGGGAATATTTCCATATTATGGGAAAATTTTTTTAACAATTAAAAGACCATTTTGCGCAATCCTCACACTCCTCCTCATCTCATGTTGGACAGTGATGCACTCTCGCATCTTCCTCTGCATCTGCTATTGTCCTCCTTTCCTCTCACAAGCGACGGCTCCTCAATGCTACTATCTATTCCGATTGATCATCTACACCGATGCTCATCAGTCTTGTCATCTGCTCCAGTTGTTTACCACCCATGTTGCTCATTATACGTCTCTCGTCACTTGGTTCTCAGGTCGCTGGGAAATCCATCTCCATCCCACGACTTGAGAATTTGCTTTGACCACTTCTCTTACTTCCTTGACCTAGTTTGCTTTCCACATAAAAAGTGCTTCAGACTATATCAATTTCAACCCTTGTGTATTTTTACCATTAGCTTTGACTTTATTGGGCCAGACGAGGGTTTTCCCCCCCCCCCCCTTCCTTTAGGATTTTTTTTTTTCAAATTTGATTTTGATTTATTGCCATGGCTACAGTGATCCAAAGATTCTGCTTGTTTTCCCATATCCTGGTTCATGAAACCAAAACTTCTCGAGTGTTATTATTAAGCAACATATAGAAGCTCATGAGCTCTCATTTTCTGCATTAGCAAAACGGCGTTGATCACATTGGTTTGTAAGTTTAATGCTTTCGGTGATTGTTGACCCTTTTTATGGTAACTATGTTGTTTAATTTCGATTTTGGCACTTTTCTCTTGCACTTTTTAACGTTACAGGTAGCAGCAAATTTGAAAAATTATCTTGCATTCCCAGGATTATTCATATTTTCAAGAATATTTATGGTGAACCCAATATTGTATTATTGGGAGTGCAAACACTAAGATCTCGTCAGCCAAAAGCCCAAAAACAAACCTTGCCCTTTCTGCGAACCCCTTGGTTTGAAACACCCCCAGAAAAAAAAAATGAGAAGATGTATTATGAACTGCTACAAAATACAACGTGCTTCAGGCGTATGAAATTGATGTAAAATATCACAAATATGGCTGACGTGTTTTTATTTTATTTTATTTTTTCAGGCAAGGGATTGCAGTAGATAGATTAATAGGGTTTCAAGATCTGGGAGGGAAAGATGATTTTACCACCAAAACGCTAGAGGGTCTGCTGATAAAGAAAGGTGTTATGATTTGACGTGTGGGCCTTTTCATTTCCTTTCTTTCGAAAAGCTTATTAACGATCATTTTACAGGTATTATTAACGAGAAAAGAGACGAGGATGACGAAAATGACGAATCTCATGAAAATTCAAGTAGAAGAGTCAGATCTTCCGTTGTCGCTGGTTCTGATTCTGATTAATATTGGTTTGCTGCCATACTTGCGAAAAAAAGTAGAGAAGCAAAACGTGAATCCACAGTTCACCTTGCTGATGGATTACTTGTGCCTGGTTGTATGACTACTGTTACATAATATTTGTTTTTATGTTTTGTTTTTGGGTGATAGCAGTATGCTAGGAACTCATGATATATTTGGTCTTGGCCGTTTGTGAATGACTTCTAATTATTGGTTACGCCGGTGTTTGATTTTCTTGTTAAACCATTGCAGTTTAGCGTCAGACTCTCCCTGGAATTATATCAGAGTTTTAAAGGTATATTTGGAAATTTTGGTGATAACATAAGATCAAAATTTCAAGGTGGACATCCCCTTTTCTGCAATAGTATTCAAATTCTAAATTATAAAAAATATAAAAGGTTATAATTTTTGGTCTCCCACATTTGTGTTTTTTTTTTTAGTTTTGATTCCTTAAATTTTAAATAATAAGTTTAAATTTCTCTAGTTTTTTTTTCATTTAAAATATTAATATCTATAATTCAATAAAAAACTTGGATCATTTTGTCTAATAAAAGATTAAAATCTATAGTTTGAAATTTGAAGGACTAAAGATTATATTAATCTAAGTATAAAACCTTCTTAAGAAGACGAAAAGCTTTGAAGACATCCCGCTGAATCTAATTTGTAGCTCCCAAGTAAGTGAGGTTACACGTTCTTAAGATATAAAAGTGAGAGGGGGAAGGGAAGATTTTTTTGTTCGGGGGGGGGGGAGGGGAATTGAAAAATAAAGAACACGTGGAGGGATTGATGCATGGGCGTGGCCTATGGGGAATGTTGACAACAAAATGAATTTTGATATCAATTTTTTAATGAGATGCTGAAGGGTGAATGTACAGTGAGGCAATGTAGCGCATGCCCGCATGGGAAACCCAGCTCATATGTGGCTTTGATCAAATGTACCAATTTGAAGGATGCATATAATCTGATAATGAGAATTAACAATTTGACCAATTTTATAAATACCCTAGTTTAATGCATCCCAATAAAAAAAAACATGAAAAAGAAAAACGAGCGTTTTATATTTTTACGCGCAGTGGACGCGAAGTAAAAAGTTTGGCGGAAAAATGGGAAGAAAGAGACGTTGTCACGTTGACGTGAAAGAGAGCAAGAAGTGAGTGGAGTAGCCTTGCAATTCGCCAAAGTCTCTGCTTCCATATTTGCCATTCTCTTTGGTCAAATAAAAAAGAAATCTTTGCCACTGTGTATGTATGTGTGTTATGCTCCAATTCGCAATTAGCGGATTCCGGAAACAAATAGAGTTTGAGATAATGGCTCTGAGACTTCGTCAACGTCGTCAATTGCTTCTTGAAAATAGCTATTTTGAGAATTACCTGCTCTTTTACATGAATTACCTTCGTCCATCCCCCGAGTGGCTCGCTTTCCACGGCTGAATTCTTCCTTTGTTTCAATAATCCTCCATCACCTAATTGAACTGATCCTTCATCATCTCTCTCACATTTCACTGGATTTATATTTGGTTTCCGTCTCTGGTATCATAGTATCAATCTGGTTCAATTAGTAGGATTTACTAATCTTCCAAGTGAGTTTTGTGATAGATATAAAAAGTTAAAGCCCATCATTTTTTATACCTTGTGTTTGAATTATTGGTTGGCAATATTGCATGCAGGACGTTGAGTGTCCTTTGTTTTCTGTCTTGTACGATGTGACTGCTTGCTTGTTCTACTGCCCCTTGTGCCCTCACTCGTAAAGCCAGTGAAAGCCCCTAATTCTTGCGACGCCATGTCTGGAACCTTTTCACCCAAGTCAGGTAAACTAATTTAGGAGGCAAGTTTGAAAGCATTTTGGGTCAATTCTTTGTCCAGCTCTGACCATTACACAATCAGTTGCATCTCTATTAGGTTGCCTTAAAAGATGGTAAATTCTGCCCCCACATTAGTTGAATTGTCCACCCCCCCCTCAAAAAAAAAAAAAAATCCTCCTGGATAAAGAGAGAGAAAGAGAAGGAAAAACTATGAATCAAGATTTGAGCTTGAACTTGAATAAAAAAAACAAAGGTGCATCGCAAACTTGGTGGTGAAATGAACTTTGAGAACTTGATCGACTTGAGTTGGCAAAAAAAACCAGACTTTGATACTGTGTCAGGAAACCAATTCTCTCAAAAGTTTAAGATCCTAGAAAAGTATCAATGATGGTTTATACATACATACGACATATATAACAACTCATGTAGCCAGATTTACTTGATATGCCTCAAAGCAGTTGATAAATTTATTAAAAACTTCTCTATCTGATCATAAAGTTACAACATTTCAGCTCTTGAAGGGTCTGATGGTGCAGGGTCTTTTAAGAAGAGAGCCTCAAATAAGTTCAGGAGTTCTTTATCAAGAAAGGGTAGGAGATCTAGCAAGGTCATGTCTGTTGAAATTGAGGATATCCGTGATGCTGAGGAGTCAGCAGTTGTTGAGAAGTTCCGTGAAATTCTTGTATCTGAGGACCTTCTCCCTCCTAAGCATGATGATTATCATACGATGCTGAGGTCAAATAATATATTTCTGGTTTTAGTTTGGCACACAAATGCATGCTTCCAATAGAGCTTGCGCGCACACAACATCTGTTTTTATGTTTGTCACCTGTTCATCACAAGACGGATGCTAACAACACCATATGTTTGATATTTTATGGGTTTCAAAGTATAAACCTTAATTTCTGGGCTTGGACACTTTTGTGAAGCACGACTTAGATCCAGTCATGGATGATCCCAATAAAGGGAAATCGACTAAAAATAAAAGTACAATGCGAGGCTCGTAACCTTGTCTTGTTGAGATTATTAAACTTTTATTTTTCCCAGTGCCTTTATTTTTGGTACATAAATAATTTAAATAATATAGTTTAGCACCTATTCATTTTATATATTTTTTAGGAAAACGATTATGTAAAAACAATTTGAATATGATTCTGGTAAAAAAGAACAATTTGAATATGATGGGCACGCAAGTGGGTGAGGAACCTTTCTCCAAAGGTTAACAATTGAAGAGAACCAACCCAATTAATTATTCTTGAAAACATTCCATACTACTCAACATTGAGCTAACAACTGATACCATCTTGTTCTCTATCAATTGGCCACCTTTGGAGGGATGAAGTCCCAATCGCCCCACTCTGATCTTTCACCTGGTTACACTTCATTTAGGCCTAAGCTTACCACTGGTTAGGACGTTTTGTAAGTCAGAACCCTCTCAACAGTCCTTTCCAGAATTAACAATCTCTAGCTCTAATATCAATTAATGGACACCCAAGTGAGGTGGAAAACACTTCAAAATCAACCCTTAAAATACACAATTGAGCAACATGTACAGTGTACCACTCAATGTAGGATTCAACTACCTATGCTACCTTGATCAGATAATTGAGGTCCATTGTGTTTTTCTGCAGAATAATATCAGAAATAGTAATTGAAAATTTGAAATATTTGAATTTGAATTATGCTGTGTCATATCATGTTTCATATTCTTTGGTAAATGTGTCCGTATCCACCTCCATGCTTCTAGATGTTCCACTTTCCAATAGTTGCTGCAATATTGCATATCACAAGTCACTGAAATAACTAAGTGTATGAAACTGGTTGGCAACATTATTGCTAATGAGCGATGTCGAAATGTCTTTACTTTTCTGAGGTTATAATGGATGCTCAACCTATATAGCTACATTGTTGTACAGATTCCTAAAGGCCAGGAAATTTGATATTGAGAAAACAAAGCAAATGTGGTCTGACATGATCCAGTGGAGAAAAGAATTTGGTACTGACACAATTATGGAGGTACATGTTTCAACAATATTTCTTGAGAACTAAGGGGTATTATTTTATACTTATGCTTTTCTAACTCCTGTTTAGTTCCCAACAAGATTGTATTTACAATTTCTATACCATTGCGATTTTTTTCTTTTCTCTTTTTCCAATCTTCATTTGTTTTTCCTTTTTACTAGGATTTTGATTTCAAGGAACAAAGCGAAGTTTTAAAGTATTATCCCCAAGGGCATCATGGAGTAGATAAAGATGGACGACCTGTGTACATCGAGAGATTAGGTCTGGTAGACTCAAACAAGTTGATGCAAGTGACAAGCTTAGATCGCTATATCAAGTACCATGTAAGGGAGTTTGAGAGGACATTTGACATAAAGTTGCCAGCTTGTTCAATTGCTGCAAAGAAGCACATTGATCAAAGTACAACCATCCTGGATGTGCAAGGAGTGGTATGCATGAGAATCGGAAAGAAACAATTCTATGCCAAGACTAAAAAGCATGTTGATAATTGATCATGGCTCAGCAAAACTGACAATCTGTAATTTGTTATCAATACCAAGAATGGTCTTTTGGTGACCTAAAATGAATCTTACTTGCAAAGAAAAGTTTGGAATATATGGGAAGGTATTAACTATAATCTCAATTGATTGCTACAGGGGCTTAAGAACTTTAGCAAATCTGCCAGAGAACTTGTTACTGCCCTTCAGAAGATTGACGGTGATAATTATCCAGAGGTATCATTATATCCTCATTTGATTAGGTTGCACACACACGCAAGCGCACACACTGCTGGGACTAGAACTTTAAATAGACAAATCTGAGGGATGAAATTTATGAGAACTTTTTCCTGTTTTTTTTTTTTTTGGGGGGGGGGGTTGTGGTGAGGTGGAGCACACATATATTGAATGAGAGAGTTGTAACGCCATGAAGTGCTTCATTGCAGAGTTTGAATCGTATGTTCATCATAAATGCTGGTTCTGGATTCCGAATGTTATGGAGCACTGTAAAATCCTTCCTTGACCCTAAGACCACGGCAAAAATTAATGTGAGGATAAAACATATACCAAATCTACTTGTTTTGTCAGGTAAATAAATTATTCACTTGAAACTTACATTTAATCAGGTTCTTGGCAACAAGTACCAGAGCAAATTGCTTGAAATAATTGATGCAAGGTGAGGATGTGAATGGGCAAGTTTGTTATTTAGCAAGTAATATTAGACCTTGTGCTCCCCACAATTTTCATTATCTTAAAATTTTCAAAAACACTGACTAGATTATATGGAAGCTTCATCCATTCATTGGTGTTTCTTTGCAGTGAATTGCCAGAATTTTTGGGAGGCACTTGCACCTGTGCTGATCAAGGAGGTTGTATGCTTTCTGATAAGGGCCCATGGAAGAATGAAGAAATATTAAGGGTGGGTTGTAATTCCTTTTTCTCAGTTTTTACATCCTGTGTTCTATGTGCTGATAAGAAAGCTAATGTAATTGATATATGGGCTTGCAGAAGGTTCTAAATGGTGACCATAAATGTTCAGGCAAAAATGAGTCACCTGTGGTGGAAGATAAGACAGAGTCTGAGGTAGTTCCAGTGTCCGAGGCAACATCAGTTTCTGAGGTAGTGCCTGTGTCTGAAGCAGTGCCTACCAGTGACCCCATCAATCGCAAAAAAGAAACGCCAGTGTGTGTCGAGGTATGTCAGTAACTCAATATCCTTGCATAAACTTGTTAGACATCAAAGGCCCTGTTTCTTTATGCCAGCATCTTGGTTAAGTTGTTAGACTTGAGTAATGAAGCCATAATAATTGTTGCAGTCATAAGTTCAATAATTGGATACATGTCTTACCCTGAGTGCTAAGAGATCAGGTTGCCAACTTTAAGGATGATCCTTTTTATTCGTGGATGTGAATCCATTGTGTTGAAACTCCCTTGAATATTTTATTTTTATTCCGGATAAATGTTTGATTTCACTACATGTTCCTTTTGACTTGAGTAAATCCTAGTTTTAGACACACTGTTTTGTTGGTCTTTTTTCACGTTATGAAGGTTTTATGGAGTTTATTGTGGTAGTTTCATGTGACTGTAGATTTACTCCAAGGAACTTGTCCGTAGCTCTTAGAGCAACATAGGCCCTACTGAACATATAAAACTTGAGGTTTTCCCTCGTTGTCAATTAACCTTCTGACATATATTATTTGTTTTTACATGCTTCCCCAGTTGTTACTTTCTAAAATTTTAAACTCAACAGGTCCCTGCTACTAGAGCTTGCAAATCTGAGGAGTTAGTCCCAGTGGCTGATAAAATAGCTATGAAAAAAGTTGAAGACAGCGAGAAATTAGCCATATCAAAAGGTACTGGATTGATAGGAGTGTTTTCTTCTTGTGTCTCTGTTACATATTCTTTGTCTGCAACATGGACTTATTTCGAAAGAAAGTAGATAGGCATGCTTTTATGACTTATTGCATTGCTTGGTGTGGGTAGAGAAATGAACCACGTTACTCTCGAATCAAGAATAGCGCAACGTGTTTAATTTTTTTTTACAGATTTTGTATTAAATATTGAATGTATTGAATGAATTGAATACTGATGATTCTTTGTCTGCAATGGTATTGTTAACTGCTTTGGAGGGGAAAAAACAGAAATTCCAGATAAGCATGCTTTTGTGGCTTATAGCAACCTCACATCTGTCTCTTGCCTTGCTATTTGTTATCTGAAGCTGGAATAGAAACATTCATCAACATGGCTGATACTTACAAGCTCCACGAGAAATTCAACTACCAGCTTTTCACTGGTGTCATGGCCTTTGTTATGGGAATCCTGACCATGGTCAAAATGACACGAAACATGCCCAAGAAGATCAACGATGGCAACTTCTACTCCAATCCTACTTTCTCTGCTGACCCGACGTATACAGGGCAGGTCCCTGCTAACGACCCCTTGCCCACCATCTCTGCTGAAGAATTTATGACAGTTCTTAAACGCATGGCTGAGTTGGAAGAGAAAATGGTCACCATGAACATACCTGCTTACATGCCACCCGAGAAGGAGGAAATGCTGATCGCTGCTATGAACAGAGCTGATGTATTGGAGAAAGAACTTATGGCTACCAAGAAGGTAAATGATATACTTCATTCCAGTACCATATGAGGCATCTTAAACCAAGCATCATGACGCTCTTCTTTGCATTATACATCGGTCCACTGCTATTTTGTAATAGTTTTGCTCCTTGATGCATTTAAGAGCAGGTTTTTTTTTTTTTTTTTTAATGTTCTTCAGGCCTTGGAGGATTCACTTGCGCAACAAGAGGAGCTTTTAGCTTACATTGACAAGAAGAAGAAGAAGAAATGGGTACACCACCAAAACCATAACGTTGCTCACAGTTTTTGTTTACTGAAGGATCTCTGGGTTTTTAATTTTTATCGTTCCCCTATAATGCAGTTTGGATGACGGAAATATCTGAAGACGTCTCTGACCTGCGATATGCCATAACTAGCGGTGGATTGATTTGTTCTTTGTGGAGTCGTCCGCGATGCCCTCTTTGTCCATCAATTTTCAGGAAATGTAAATTAGTTTTTGCTTAGTGGCGTATTATGTCTCTATCATCGATCATTATAGATATATGATGCAGATTTTTAGGATTTTTGTTATTTTCAATTTTTATTTTTATTATTCAGTTTATTCTAATTAATTATTTATTTTGTAGTTAGTGACTTAGTGGGCAATTATCTTAACCTCACTCTCCTGCTACTTTTTTTTTGATATTTTATTAATTTTTTTATTTATCATTAGTTTAGGTTATAAAACATTATTAGGATTTCATTTAGACAGTAGATTGTATTATACGATTGAATTTTACAGATTTTACTCTCTCAAGCTTATCTGCTTTCTCCTCTTTCCTCCTATTCTTTCCTAATTTCCTCCTCTCTTTTTTTTTCCCTTCTTGTTTTACATCAATTTTGACATCAGAGTTTGTTTTTGTGCTTCTCGAGTGTCTAAAATTCTCTTTTCTGACCTATCAAACACACCTTTAACCCTAAACATTCTATATCCGCGGAGTTTTCCCCTCTGTTCACCTAATTTCTAGCGTTTTTTCACCACTTTTTCACCATAATCAAATTCGCCATTAAATTCTTGACCAGACCCCTCAAGTTTCACTTCCATTGGCTCTCACACGTGCTGCCAATGTTCTCTTTGTCTAGTTCTTGCATCACCGTCACTTTCAAGGTCTATTCACAAAGATCCAGATGTTCGATCAATGTAAAACTACTCTCATTGCGTGTGCCTTCAAAAATGCTGTCTGCCTTCAAAATTTCACCGTCAAACAACACCAGACGTGCCGTCACATGCCAGTGGAATTCTGCGAGATGCCACGGCATAAGTTTTCACAAAAATTGCATATTGTACCCACATTGTTAGAAAGAATTACAATTATGACCCAAATTTTCCACAAAAATTTCACTATCTAGCCTAGATTTCACCATTCCATTTTTTTCCCCCAATTACGGCCTCCTGAAATCCAAGGAGAATTATAAGAGCATTATTGAGGTAAATTTTCTTTCTGGGTCTAGTTATGTCAGTAAAGCCCAATTGATCCTCTATTTAGATTACAGCACTATTTGGCATACTCTGGATGTTATTGTTCTTAATTATTATTATTCTTGCTTTATTGTTGTTAATTATTGTTATTGTTACTTTATTGTTTGCTGCAATTTATTAGGGCAATTAGTTGGAAAAAAAAGAGGAAAAAAAAAAGAAAAAATTTATAAAAGATTAGAAAAAGAAGTAGTGAGAGAGTGGGGTTAAGGTAACTGTCCACTAAGTCACTAACTACAAAATAAATAATTAATTAAGATAAACTGACTAATAAAAATGAAAATTAAAAATAACAAAAAGTCTTAAATATCTGCATAAATTCCCCCTCGATTGGAAGAACTCGCTACCGGAGATTTAGAAAGTTGGTAATAGTTAAAAAAGGTGGGGTCCACATGATGAAACTCATCCTCGGTAATCCATGTAGCATCGGAGACAACACAACCTTTCCAATGAATTAGAAAGGAGAGGATAGGTCCTGCTGGAATCAAAAGTATCTACTTATCCATCACAATATCAATGGTCTCAATAATTAGTGAAACACCTGGCAGTGGTGGAGTCAGGACAAGGTGGAGCTGGGTACCTGCAAAGTTATCAGAACACAAAGAAGGAAGCTCAAAAGTACCTCGATAAGGAGCAAGATCCTCAATATTAAAAACTAGACAAATAGACATGTTTGGAGGTAACTCTAACAAATAGGCATTGTGCCTTAATTTTTCTTTTTTAATGCAAAATGGGCCAGAGCAAACTAGGGTTAAGCAAATAACCCATAACCCGTTACTCCCCTGCAATCCATTTATTTTTTTGCCCCTTCAGCCCACCCAATTAGTCCAAATAAGAGCCCAAAAATGGATAGACTTAAATGGGTGGACTAGCCCATTAAATGGGACGAGTTATGGGCAAAGCATTATGCTGCCTGTACTTGCCTACTTAACTTCCCCCCCTAAATATTCCAGATTTTCTCCAATACACATTTTTCTTTTATTTTAATCATTTTTCATTTTTCCTCTCTAATTTCTGCAAATGAAAATCTAACGTACTAAAACTCAAATAGTTTTCTATAAAATGTTTCAGGTTTAAAAATGCGAAAATGGATGCAAGTTATTACGTAATCAGTAGTAAATTATGGAATATAAATCTAATATATAATAGGGAGAGCTATTCATGTACCTATATGTATTAATTAAGCATTTTTTTCCAAGTTTTTGAAATTTGATGGACTTTTGAATTAGTTGGCAAAAAATATATATACCCCTCCTAAATATTAAAAAATATCGTTTTGATTTTTTTTTTTTGGGTAAGAGAGAAGGCCTAAAGTCTAAAAAGAATTACATCAAAAGGAACTAAATCCCAAACAATCCTATTGAGAAATCTCCTTCAGTTCACTACTCGAATTGTTACTTTAGCTTGTAATTTTCAGCCTAACTACCAGTTAATTACCGGTGGATCAGGTTTTTGAGATTTTTGGAACATTTTTTTTTCAAGAAATGGACTACATTTCACAATGTTGTGTACGTGTGCGTATAAAATTTTACAGTATGATTCTCTTTAAGTTTTCTTTTAATTATTATTACAATTAGCTTATTAGAGTCGCCTTTCTATTAAATTTTACCAGATGAGTTTTAGTTCATTAGATTTTTTTTTACGCTTTTTTATCATTTGCAGAAATTATACTAAGGTAATGTTATTTCATATTTGGTGTCATTTAGTATGCAAAGGCAGCTTTGCTTCATATGATAGCATCACAAGACAACTATACTGAAAAAAAATAATAATAATAAATGGCTTATTCCGTAATGGTAAGCTCAAATGGGTTGTCTTGTAATCCGTCTAATACAGGCTTAAATGGGTTGGGACTACGTTACAGGCTACCCTTCAGGGTAGGCCATCTCACCCATTGCTCAACCCTAGAGCAAATGTGTGCAGCTCTTTATAAGGTCTTTTTAGGAAGCACTCCGGGTGTATGCATGCCATAACATAGCTGTCTACCTCGAACTTATAGTACACTAGGAATTACCTCCAAACTTGCCTTTGGCCCATTCCGTATTGAAAAAAAGTTAGTGTCTAATGCTTTTTTACTAGAATTACCTCCAGACATGTCTATCAATCCATTTTTTAATATTGAGGATCTTATTCCTTACCAGGGTACTTTTGAGCTGCCCTCTTTGTGTTTCGATAGCTCTGTAGGTACCTAGCTTCACCTTGCCCCAAGTCTACCACAGGTGCTCGCTTGATTATTGAGACCATTGACATTGTGATAGATGAGCAGACACTTTTGACTATAGTAGGTCCTATCCGCCCCTTTTTGGTTCGTTGGAAAAGTTGTGCTGACTCAAATGCTACATAGATTATAGAGAATGAGTTTCATCGTGTGGACCCTATCATTTTTAACTATTACCAACTTTCTAACTCTCTGATGATGAGTTCTTCTAACTGAGGGAAATTGATGCATATATTTAGGACTTTCTCTTATTTCTAATTTTTATTTTTATTATTTAATTTATCTTAATTAATTATTTATTTTGTAGTTAGTGACTTAGAAGGCAATTATCTTAACCCCACTCTTCCACTACTAATTTTCTAATCTTTTATTAATTTTTTTATTAATCTTTAGTTTAGGTTATAAAACATCATTGGGGTTTTATTTAGACGGTAAACTACATTATACGATTAAATTTTATAGACTTTTCTCTCTCAATTTTCTCTGCTATTTTTTTCTAATTTTTTTTCCCTCTTTTCTTCTTAATTTCTCGATTTTCCTTCTCGTTTCCCATCATCTTGTCTGCGTGTCTTTGATAGATTCTCCATCTTTTATTTCGAACAATTCATACTTCCCCACCGATTTGCTGAAGCCTGTTTTCCTTTACTCCCTTGGATCCTTCCTTCATGTGCCAATTTCAAGATATTACACATCTCGTTGTCTATGTTGTCAATAATGTGTTTAGATGTGTCAAAAAAAGAATTCTATATTGCTTGGAATCATGGAGGTTTAAGTAATAAGTGATCTTAGATTACTAAATACGTTAGGAGGAGGAGTGGGCTTGCACGCATGGGCCATTGAAGGCAAACACATTTGAAATTTGACAATTTCCCCTCACCTCTTGTACACAAGTCAAACACGGTATTAGGCACTATTATAGAAAATATCCATATAATTATTAACAGACAGGTTAATTACTATTAAACATGCTTAAATGTTCCTAATGGTATTATGACCTGTGACCTATAAAAAAGGCATGAGACTAAACTTTATAGGACTTGAGCTTTGAGCTTTTCAGTAACTTCACTTCCCTCCTTTAATATTTTGTCTTGTTAAGTTCTTTTATTTTTTGTTATTCTGCTCATGCTATTCTTATAGGAAGAATTTGTTTAACACTCATAGAGTTGCATCTTGCTTTTCTGGTAGTTTCGAAATAACACTTAAGATAGTGTCCTTGGATGCGACTCAGATTAATTAGTTATTTTAAGATATTACCACCAATAGGATTTGCATAGCATTAGAGGGTAGTTGGAAGATCGACTAAATCTATTGAAAATTTAGGTGCTATTGCCAACATGCAATAGCATAGCATAGTTACAAGCTTTGGGATATTCTTCTTAGCTTAGTGTATTGGTGATCAGCAGTTGTGGTTGAGTCAAGCATTGCCTTCTTCTTTACCCTATCTCACTATCCATATGTAGGCACAATGAAGCCCACAGTTGTGTTGTTAGTCATGTTAAATTTTGTTTCATGTACTTCTCAATTAGGACTACCTTTCATTCTCAAATTATTTTGTCACATGTAAACGTCAGTTTTTCAAAATATGAACTGTATTTTGACATGATAGTTATTTGATATTAAAGAAAGAATTACATTGATATTTTTCTAACCCCGCAATTTCATTTTACCTAATAACAAAAAAAAACCACAAGATTTTTTCGACGCGAGAGAATTTCTTAATTAAAATTCAAGTGTGCCAACAGACAACAGCATTCTTAGGGGTTTGAACTTTCAATTTTACAGTGAAAAGCAGCACGCTATAATAAATAAAACATTAAGATGAAACAGAAACTACATATGGAAAGACAAAAATAACGGAAACAGTATCCCTCACAATGTAATATCTGAAGACTTTTATGCTGCATTTGATATGATGAAAGTATAGAAGCAGAAGTGAAAATGGGAATTCAATTTTTGCATGTTTGGCATATCTTGATTCACAATGACGCTTTCTTCACAAGTCCACTTCCACCCAAATGGCTAAGGGCCTGTTTGGGTGCTCCAAAACCATAGTTTCAGAAGCACTTTTCCGCAAAATGAGATAACCTCCTCCACATATTTACTTCGTAATCCGTAAAAGCACTTCTGAAACCATGGTTTGATTTCTATCCAAACACTCCCTAAAACTCGTTTCTAATGTTGCAAATGGGGATTCCATGTAATTGGGTGTGAAAATACTATATTTCTAATTTTGATTAAGAACGTTGGCTGAGAAATTTATCTGAGCTTCAAAATTTATATTTGTAAATTTAGCAGAGTTTATATTCTTGCTGAGACTCATACTGGTGCGCAATGAGATTGCTTCCAATTCCAAACTAGTTTGGGTCAATTTTTTTCTTTCTTTTTCCTTTTTTTTTTCACGGCTGAATAAAGTATGACTCAGTCCAACTAACATCATCTTTGTCATCTTCAACTATTTTTCCTTGCTCTTCATCTTTACTGTGATCTAATTTAGAGTTCATCGTAAAGCTTGAGAGCCTCAACCCTCTGAATGTCTATTAACAGTCCAATGCTGTCAGAAAATCCACCCGCGATCCTGATTGGGCTTGATCATGAATGATTTTATTCCATCGGCAAATGTTATATATATAAAAAACGGAAGCCCCGGATTCCAACAGTGGCTGTAGTTTAGTGGTAAGAATTCCACGTTGTGGCCGTGGAGACCTGGGCTCGAATCCCAGCAGCCACATTCTCTGTTTTATGCTTTATTGAAGTGAATTTTCCCTTTTGTCGTCAAACCGAAATCCCAATCCAACCCGACTATTTCTTTTGGGACGAAAGAAATTCGTTAAAACTGATAGGCGCGCAATCTCCCTATTGGAGCAGACGAAGAATGGCGGCCGGCGATGAGAAACATTGTAGAAAATGGCGTTATACTTGGGAATCACAGTCCCACATCCCAACGCTTCGTCTCTTGCTTTTCGCCAAAAATGCTAATCCTTCTCTGCAATGTCTCAATTTGAAGGTTCAACTTTTTCCTTCTCAGTCTCTGGTGGCGGTGAGCTGGTTTGAACCCGCCCAAGTCTCACTTAGGGTTCCGATTCCTAGGGTTTTGGTTGACTTTGAATCGCCTGTCAGTTTTCGAGCTTTGGATGATCACATTGAAGTGAAGCTCCTACTGCTTTTGCCTGTCGATCATCCAGTTGTTTCAAGCTTCGATTCTGTGATGAATCTATCTGATGATCCCGTAAATGCATTGCCTGATGTATCAGAGCCACTAGTAATGGGATCTGGTAATCTGAATGTATTGGCTAAACTGTTCGTTAATAATCAAATTCGGGATTTTAAAGTTATTTCTCGATTAAAATTGAATATTTTGTCGCATTCATTTATCCTTTTCATGTTCATTATCACAATACTAACGTGAAAACCCGAGGAACAGAGATGTTCTTGGTGTTGTGCTCTTATTTGAAAGCAAACTAGACACGTTTTTGGGTGGGTGGTACGTGGTGAACTTCATCACTTATGAATGATGGAACTTATATTTTATAGAGTCAAGCCCTTTCATGACTGTGGTTGTTTGTGTTCTATCTGTTTCCTTTCCGGTGCGGATAGATTGCAATTTTGAGTCCTGCGTCTAATATCTTCCTTTTGACGGATATCTTGGTGGACACCAAAGCTACTGTGGGCATGTTGAAAAAATAGATAATGAAAATTAGCTATATATTCAGACACAATAATGTTGCAAACCCTGCCGTTTATATTCTAACCAGGCATGGATTGAACATTAACCATTTCGATAAAGCTCGCTCTTGCATTTTGGGTTTAGCATGGCTTTGCGATTAGTTGTATATTATTTTACTTGCTTTATTTGTAATTTGGTGTTCTACTTCTTTATTTGGTTCAGATGTAAAAAATTTATCTTCCAGAGCAGCAGTTCATTTTTACTGTGGAAGTTGCTCTTTCAAGTTGACTAGAAATCCTCTCAGGTAGTGTGTGTGTGTGTGTGTGTGTGTGTGTGTGTGTGTGTGTGGGGGGGTAACTGGTTGGGTTTATATTTAATAGCAAATTGTTTGATGATTGCATTTCTTCCTAAAAGTAATAGAGCCTTACTGGCGTAATAATTTATAGTTTTCATTTTTCCTGTGAAGCTTTTTTATTTTCTCTTTTTTTTTTTTTGGCACAACTCCTCTAGGAGTTTCGTTGAAATGCCATCAGTCAATTGGCGAGAGGTAGCTGACAACTGGTTTGGGGCTTGTTGTTGTTCATTTGGAGGCATAAGTGAGAAGTTGGTGATCAAATATGCAAATTCTTATACTTGTGCACCAGGGGTATGCCTATTAAGCTCTACGTCTATTACTCTTTGCAAGGATGATCTGATAGAATATAACTTCCCTGAACGTGGTGGAGAAGAGTGTAATTCTAAATCAGATAAATTTGAAGAAGGAATTAACAAAGCTGCAATAAATTCGGAGATATCTATGGAAAGATCTTCGACTTGTAGTGAGATTGGTAAAACCATATATAATTCTGACGAGAGTTCAAGGTTTGCAGATTCTCAGAATGAAAAACTTAATGTGAACTTGGGACATGAAGTTGGTGAAGAAAAATCTAATCATGATGACTTCTCTCGTTCATACCTGGATTCCCATGTCCCTGCGGATGTGGCCATGGCTTCCAGTTGTTGTGCTCATATGACAAGCAGCGTTCACATTCTTGAGAATGAGGATTGGCAACACCAATGCTGTGAAAATGCTAGAAAAGAACATAAAGATACAACAGCCATGGAAATTCTTGCAAGTCAGAAATCTTTCCTCAATGGGTTTCTTGAAGATGTTTTCATGGCTAGATCTTCCAATCTTTCAGAAGATATTGATTGGTGTGAATTCACGTGCCCTCAGTGCAAGTCTGTTCTTGGAGCCTATCCAAGCTGTAAGGGCGAAGCCCCTGTAGATGGAGGAGTACGATTGTTTAAGTGCAATATTTCAACTTGTTTGCCAGTTAGAGGATCTGGAGACTTGTTCAGGTTAGCAAAGATCTGTTTTTGTTTAGTATTTTATTGATATTTTTTGTTAGGAAAAGGTTTAAAAATAAAGTGCCAATTTTGTTTTCTTGCTGATTCTACGGAATAGCTTGTATAGAGTATGAATAATTCTTGAACTCCTGCACAGGTAATTTGATTTGATTAGTCTGCTTACTGTTAGAGCAAGTGGAGGAAGGAAATTTTACGGAGAAATGATACTTTTTTCCTTCTTTCTAACCATTTATATGGACAAAAATGCTGCTGCAGTGACCATGTTTGGGTCCTTTAAATGTGCGTCTTCCTGCCAATCTCTTCCGTATGCCGATTTATTATTTGTTCGATATGTGATCTCAAAGATTGCCTATTTATCATGCAGTTATGTTCATTATGCACGGCTAATATAGCCGTGTTAAAATACCTAAATGCATTGGCAGTTGGAGAATAAGTTCTCAGCATACTTGAAAGTTCGTAGTTTTCATATGTCATTAAATTATTTAGGATGAAAATTTACTGGGCTTTGAGCCTCATTTGTGCACCCCAAAGGAAAAAAAAAGATCTTAATGAAAGGCGAGCGATACTCGTTAGAAGCAGTAAGTTTCTCGATCCTGTGCATGAGTTCCCCCACTCTGTAGCTCCTTGCCTTTACTTTCATTTTCCTTCTTATTGACATATGCCTTGGAGAATTAGCAGAATATGATTAAAAAAACACAAGATGAATTTTTATTTTAAGTTTTCTGTTAAATACTATTTTTTCAGGTTAATTTGTTATATATTATATTAAACAAATTTTCAATACATTTTGATACCAGGCAATATACAATGGGAAAAATGTTTGCAAACAAGCTAGTAGAGTGTGCAAATGATGAATCATCATTTCGGTTTGCGGTCATAGATCTGAAAGCAAAGTCCCCTGCCCTGCAAATCATTCTTATAAATCCAGATACATGGTCAATTTCTGGTGATTGTTTTATCACTGAGGATTCTGAGGTGCCTAAACTACAACTACAGCCCGTCATCAAGTTGCTTTTCTCTGAATGCAGTACTGCTACAGAACTTCAGTTAAGGTTAGCTATCAATTTATCTCTCTTGTTACAATAACTAAGTCTGTTTCAGAATATGGAGCTGTTGTCTGTTTTAGTTTCTTTTGAGGCTTTCCATAATGGACTTTGTTTCGCTAGATGTTTCTTGCTCCAGTTCCTCAACCCTTGAGTTTGTTCCCCAACCAAGTGAGTTCATTACTCTGTACTGAGATAGAAGTCATGATTTGTGGCCTTAAAGTTTTTTTAACATTACGTTGTGTATATTTTACGGGGAGTATTGCATCATGATTACCGATGTTTGACAATTTGACATACAAACTCATTTGACAACCGATAAAACATTCAGAAGAGGGTAAAATAGAATCCTTCTCCAAATATCAACTCAAGTGAGCATGAGTGGTAAAGGCTCTTGTCACTTGAGCAATGGTTGGAGTTTTGAATCCCAACCTTTATGCATGTAGCAATTTAGTTGGGAGGAGCCTACTTTTTGTCTTTAGTCGACGGGAACAAAAAAATCTTCTCTGAATTATTAATGCACCGGATTGTATATCTCTAGTGAGTTTTGCTTTCTGTGATAAACTCAAATACAGGATGGTGGTTATCTTGTCCTAGCGAGTAATGGCTACAATTTGTGCAGGATGACGGAGGAATGGATAACAAATAACTCAGCCGAAAGTATTTTTATGCTGACTTATCAAATAAAAGAGCTGGTGGCGTCAATGATGTCAGGAAGGGATGCGTATCCACCTTCATATGCGTCCATTCAGGGATTATGTTTGTCATCTATGCAACGGTAGTAATCTGCTCAAACTCAGCATTGGTGATCTAAATCGACTTATATGCCTGGGCGAAGAACACTGGAGTGTCTGAAATTAGAGTAAACCAATGTTGTATCGCTGGAACTGTACACCAACGTCAGTTAATAGCCTGTGTACAGTTCAATTTTATAAATATATATTTCTCAATTTATCGGGGGGGAAATGTTTCGTATGAAATCTACTATAGGCATGGCATTTATTTATTTCAAGTTCATTGTGCGTAAACTTTTTTAGCCATTTATTCATGGAGAAAATTGGATGCATTGAACCAGTTCCATCAAAAGTGGGTTCCATATAGACATGTGCTATAATTTTGAGAATACCACCGAGTCCCATATCTTTTTCAACGTATTAATTCAATTGAATTTGTAAAATGTTAAAGATGAGCTGAAGCATGAAGATTGCGCTCTGATATTCTCTTGCAACTGTTCGTCGTGTATTTTGTTTTAAAAATGTTTCTACATCCTATTTTGAATATAAGAGTCAAATGGAGATTGAATTTGGTGAAGTATAAGATGTTAATTTTTCCCCCCTAAATTTCTAATTTTTTTTCCCAAAGTATGGGTTTTTATTAAGTAGTTTCAATACATATAATAAAGATAATAATTTAACAAAGTAAATCTTATTTAGTATAAATAACAAATTTAACTGATTTGGTTAATATTTTCAAATTAATTATTTGCCTGCCTCAATTTCTACTCAGTAACATTGTAATCTGTGTGAATTTTGTCCATGATGGAATGTTCACTCATTAATGATCTCACCATCAAACTGGATTAAAACAGTGGAGTCATCGAGTGAATATTATGAAAACTCTATCAAATCTCACTTGTTTTCCCCCCTCAAGGTATCAAATCTCACTTGAATCGTTACTAATTACCACTAAAGATCATTTTCAGAACACCCCCCCCCCCTCAAAAAAAAAAAAAAACCATTGCCTCCAAGTCTCCAACGATGATTCTCAATGAGGTTCTAGGAAAATTCGTGGAATTTTCGGAGACGACTGCGTTTAAGGTGCGCATTAAACGACATGACTTCAAGTCCTGCATTTGAAACTCGTTACGACCGCCGTTTTTTTGGTGCCTGAATGAATCCTGAGTGTTTCCGGTATCCTGGACTGGAAGATGCAGCAATAGCAATATCGGTTGGCCGTTGGCGCAGTTTTATCTCGAGCGTACGCTTCAAAAATCTAAAGCGACGCTGACACTGAACCACTCCAAAAAATGCATCCCTCAGAAATTTTAGTAGTTTTGGCCGTTGGTCGGTTTGCCATCTTACCCTCTCGTGTAGTCTGTTATCTTTTGATTTGAATTGCTATTGGACTAATTGTTTACTCACAGTGATTTTTAATTCGTTTCAGCTGTTCTTTCTCAGACGCTCTGGGTTGCTTCAGTTGTGCACCCGAGTTCCAATTGCTATGCTTTTAATAATTCGAGTCACATTGTTGATTTCGTATCCTACATTCTTATACCTTCAAAGTTACGTACTTTGAGTACGCTTTTTAGCATGCAATTTACAGCTCGAAAATCTATTGGGTTTGTGGCATTTGCTGTTATTATGTACTTATGTTTATGACGCTTGAAGGAATATATAGTTTGACAATTTTGGATGGAGTTGCTATCGCTTAACCCGGTAATCAGAGCAGCTGGATCGGGCAGACTTTTGAGTACGACGGGAAGGGGATGGTAATGCTCTCAATCTGTTTGTGATATGTCCAGAGGTGTCTTAACGCCTGTATATGAATAATTTTCTTCACACTTTCAACGTCATTCTAGTTCTAGGTAAGTTAGTCTCCTTGCCTTGCTGCAGGACTCTGACTTGGCGGTTCGATTTTGCAAAGATGTAGAGACTAGATCACAAACGGTAGTCCATGTTGCCATGCCTTCGAGTACTTTGTTGTTTTCTTGCTCTGATTTATTTCTTTTTCCTGCCTTGTGCATTTATAGTAGCATTTCGCTTATTTGATGCATGGTATGTTCAGTAGTTCATTGTTTACTTTTACAATCAGCTTCTCTAAAACCTTAGGCATCATCTCTATAATATAAACCGCAAACGTCCTGGAAAATTATAAGTTAAGAAAAACCAATCATTTGTTTTTCATTCCTTCGTTTAAGAATACAAGGGCAGAATAGGGTAGCTTTTTTTTTTTTTTAAATAATATACACATTATATCAGGTGGTTCCTGATACTTCAGTTCTGTTTTAAATTCCCTTTCGAACAAGTCCTCTTTCAGGGGAAAAGGGAAATAAACTATGGACTCATTTTCACTGTTGTTAATGCAATCACAAAGTGCTCCGTAACTATTGGTGGATTTCATATCTTACCAAGATTTATTATCCCAACCAGGTCTCAATTAAGACACCGTAGTACGAGCGCACTGAATAGTTCTTGTTGGATACTTCATTGCTTGGGTTTTCTTGCTTCCTATTTTTTGCTACCAAGGCACAAACTTCATATATTATTGCATGCATTTCTTTTCCATTATACGTTTGTTCATTTCATTAGCTGACACCAAAACCATTTAGGGATATGTTGATTTTGGCCGATATGATAAATTGAACTACTTTGCTGCTGGTTCAGGCCAATCTGATTTCATCCAAGTAAGTTCCTTTAGTCCTTTCTATCTTGTGAAGCATGAACAACAAAAGTGAGGAATATTACTATGTATTAGTTTTCCTCCGTCTTTGTTCATTTATGCTAGAGGTGACTATCGATAAAAAGAGTGAGACACACCAAATGAGTGGTAGTAATATGTTATGGAAAATATAAGTAAATAAAAGTTAGTAATCTGACTATTGCTGTTTTGTTGTTGATGCCTGAGTATATTCATTCTCATTTCTCTCTGTTTCTCTCACCGAATCGCTCTTCCCCTCTTCTCTTTCTTTTTTTTCTCGTTCCTTCTCTTGCCTTCCCGTAAATACCACAGCATAGTAACGAAAAGAGGATTGAAAGTAAAAACGTTGGAAGGCATATGATGATCATTTGTTATTTATTAATCACTTATTTTTTTAATAATATATTTCTTTTGGGTAAAATTGTTAATAATAATATATTTGAAACTGGAGAAAGGATCAAAATAAGGACCTCTAAAGAATTTGTTATCTCTTTTGTGGCTAACGCAATACTGCATGCACAGCAGCAAGACTGAAGTAGATGATAGTTCTATGTGAACATCTAAAATCTCATGGTCCCACTTCAATTACAGAATACTGTATTTGTTTCATACTTGAGAAAATTTCACTTCCAACTCATCTCGTTCCTGTTTCTCCCTCTATTGTGCACACGCCTACTTTTCCCAAGTCTAATGCATTTTCCCAATATGTGCAGCGGTTTTACAATGGTGACCTGTCAGGTTGTGAACAAAGTTATGATAAAATGGGTCGAACAGCCCAGGTTGATATACTTTGGAATGATCTCTCTCCTTCTTTCATTCCTTCTTGATTAGTCAGAATGCATGAATTGTCAGTCCAAGTTGATAATGCGAAAATGCTTGATTTGTTCTTCCCTTCTTTTGTGGTTTGTGTTACAAAATTATTTGGTTTTTCATCTTTAAATAGTCAGTCTTATCTTGGAAGATTTACATGTCTTTTTCTTCTGGATGAACTTCTCTCATGGTAAATTCATGTTTTTCAGGTGAATATCATATGTGGGACTTGTCCAAATGGACAATGTAAAGGTGTGTATAGTGTATGCTATTCATTGGTTTGTTTATCCTGCAAGCATTTGTCTGCTTGGCATTTCTATGATGTCTTAACTCCTACCTCCTTCTTGACTTGATGCTCTTTTTTGTGGTCCGTTACTTTAGGTTGCTTAGAAGTGAATGGAAACCACCCAGTAGTATTTTAGGTTACTAGATAGCCGAATTCAGTGATGTATGTAATACAGATTGCCTTTATGTTGTTGCTTTCTGATTGCCATAATGCCAGTTTGAAATGGTCATTTCTTTTAACAACGATTTTTAAATGCAAAATATTTCAAATGCTTCATTGTGTTTTCCACTTGCAGGTCGACTTGGATGCATATGCAATGTCACATACGAATCAAATTGCAGGTCTTCTATAATTTATGTTGTTTTCATCTATCACTTTCTAGGTCAAAGTTCAGATGTCGAAAACTTCAGTCACTAAGTTAGCACTTTGCAGCTTCTGTAAGTCAAAGTAATAGAGTCAATAAGACTGTTTATTTGAAGTTAGACTGCAATAAAATTATTCATGGTCTTGGTATTAAAGTAGTTCATGACACGGCATAAGAGCCTCTATGATCAAGTGGTTAGAGTTCAATACTTGCCACCCGCTGCATTTCTTTTGCTGGGATTAAATTTGAGCACAAGGTATCGTGGGGATGCCCTTTATTAATACTCTAACAAGGGCTTTCATATACAAGGGGGCTCTAAGAGTGTAGTAAAGTTCTTAATGAGCTTTAATTTAACAGTTTAGTCTTTTGATCTGGAGCAGGTTAATGAGCTTTAATTTAACAGTTTAGTCTTTTGAGCTGGAGGAGGCATAAACAGTTTTATTATTTCTTTTTCCCCACCACTTTCACCCTTAGGAAAAGATAAGAGGGATTTCTTAGCTTTTTCTTAGCTACTAATGTCTCAAACAATCTACATTGATGAAACCTTATGTTGACAGAAGGCGTTTTGAAAGACATATCTTGATGAGGCTTTGTGTATCTCAAACATCTATATGTGGTCTTTGCTGTGTGCTCAGAGTTTTGGTGGAACTGGCTATTCCATGTGAGAAACCTGGTCCACGAGTATTTCAAGGCTGCACTGTTGGCTTCATCCGCGATCATGGGAACTGGTGAGCAGCTCTGTCATTTCCATGTATGCATATTCCTCGAGAATATGCCTAATTCCAGGATTAAAATATAGCACTTGATAAATCTTCCTCTTATGAAATTTCAGGTTTATAATGGCATGACTCAATTTGGTTTTGAGAAGTCTCACAAAGAATTTAGGTACAGAATCTTTTCTGCTCATCTAGTCAACTATTCAAATTTTAGTATTTTCTGATTAGTGAATTAGTGATTTTATGTTGTTGTGCTTCACATACCAAAAACTTTGTTTACTTATGTTATGATTAATATATGTATCACTTTTTCTTGTTACAGCTTTCAACTGAGCAGTCTCAAGACCCTTTATGACTGCAGTTGCTTCAAGTTGCCCTTTATGTGACTGCAGTTGCTTCTCTCTCTTCCTTGGTTCAAAAACCTAGTTTCGAGGTACTTTTTGTTTTGTATTCACTCTGTGGAGAATGGTTACTATCTCATTACAAG